CCATGTTCAGCGGGGCTGCTGTAGCTTTGCGCTTTGAGGAAGCTTAATTTAGGTCACCTATCTTTCGTTCTGATGACGAAGGGCATTACTGTATAATATTAAAGCATAGACCGCATTGTTGATGGCAAATTCAACCATCGACAGCAGATCACTCCATGAGTCGACGACGATGCAAAAAAACAACGTAGAATGTATTTTACAACGCAATTCGTTCGTTTGGTTTGACCATCGCTTTCTTGATGGCCCTTGATGGCAATCGTTAGACAGATAGACGAAATAAGCTCGTCCAAGTCCGCTAGAAAATGCGTACCGTGATCGGATTTGATAGACTCTTGTAAAACATGATTTCAAAAGACATAATCGATAAATAGCTGAGCGCTCTGTTCACCAGTAGCAGAACCAACCGTAGTACGAGGTGTACCATCTTGCTGAAACGGTCTACAAGACCAAAACATCATTATGCCCAGCGGCATCAAGGGGTAAATAAAATCGAAGATCAAAACTGACGAATTACCAGCAATTTACTGGTACTGGCAGACTCTGCAACGGAGCATGGCCGTGTGGAAAGGGCTTTACACGCAGACATACGTTACACGAACAAGATGACCTGCGATGGGCGTATCGTGTATTTCATACGCCAACTTGTGCTTCAAGTTCGTTATCGAATACGACAACCCGAGAGACATCTCCTTCATGAACTTGATAGTACAATACTCTCTCCTCGAGAGAGTATCGATGAGCTCGACCGCGAACTTGCGTGGCTATTGTCGATAAGACTAAAGTATCCATAGTTGTCAACCACTTAAGGATAACAGCACAAGCTGGGCAGTTCGGATACTCTTGCCGTATCATGCCGAATACGCTGGAAGTAGCTTGCGACATCACAAATCGTTCCTAATCGGGACGCTGAGATAAGGCATCAGCTAAGAGATTCAACTTGCCTGGCTTATATCCCACCGTTAAGTTGTATTCTGCAAAAACGACAACCAAAGGGCCATTCGTTGTGACAAATGTGGCGTTTGAGTCGCTGTACGCAGCGATGCGTTGTCGATCTGAAAGACAAATAGCTTGGACCCCAAGAGGTGAACTCTAAACTTCACCAAAGAATATTACATTGCTCACAATACTTTGTCGTGAACTGGTTGATTCCGTTCAGCTGTCTTCGGCTGCGTCGAAAGATACGAAATGACACGTTCTTGTCTATAAACATCTTGCTGTAGCAATAGACATCCGATCGTAAAGTCGGAGGCGTCGCCCACAACACTTTACGGTAAATCGTCATTTAGAAATGCCACTATTGCCTCTGCTTGCAAGCTGTTTTAATTTTGTCAAAGATGACTGCACTATCATTTGTCCATAACCACTCTTGATCTTGCTTAAACAATTTTGATAACGGGCGTGCCATATCTGCATATTTCCTGGAATACGGATGGAGATAGCTGACCAATCCAACCGTTTTTTCAGGTCTTTCTGATTAGTTGGCGTCAGCCATTCTGAGATCGCTTTGGTCCTCGCTGTGTCTGCCTGAACACCGTCTACGCCAACAAAATAGCACAAAACTGGTACCCTTTCGTTCCGAAAATACACTTATCAATGTTGGCAAAGAGCTTACATTCTGTCATACACGCCAGTACCTGTAACAGGTGTTCGAGATGAAACCAATCGATAAATTGGCCTGTTCAGGTTTTAAATGGACAAAACCGTCATCGAAATACGTCGATATGATTAATTGCAATGGACGGAGTTGATGCGTCACTAGAGGGTTAAACGTCGCTGGCGCATATTAGAGTCCTTGTGGTATCACAAGCCTCTCCTATAGCATACAGCTAGGTGTACATAAATACATGTCCTCGACCGTATGCTACATACGTGATAACACAGCTATGTGCTCACTGCGTATACGGAATCGTTGAAGAATCCATCGGAAACTAATTGTAACCATCTACTTTGTCGAGTACGCTCAAGCGTGTCGAGCCAGTCATCTTGTTGATAATAGTATCCTTCGGGTTTGTTCCGAAACAATTTTGGCGTCAGCTTGTTGTATGTTTGTACAAAGCGCCATTTGCCATTACTTTGCGAACGCAAGCTTTGGTGCTCCTTTAAGAAATTTACTGTATTACAGCAAAGAACGAGTCCATAAACTCGAATTGCTCAGCTGGCAATGGTCATTGACGCAATAGCAGATATGCTACACCTTGCTAGTGTCGTCGGAGATTTTTGGCAGCATTTCGAATCGCCACGCGGAGCAATAAGAGAATCCACGCGATCATTATTTTGCCTTTGTGTCTAACTACACAACAACGCACGTGTTTGGCTCTATAGATCCCACGCGGCCTCCCGACAGATCGTAGTATACGTAATAATATACTAGTGATGACGTACTTACCTGAAGAATACCTCGCTAACAAAGGGCGAACACCATTAATCAGCCATCAAAGCTTTACTCAGAAAAGCTTGTGATAGTGTCCACCTTTTACACCTTGGCCACTCATTCAAATTACTCCCGAAAAGTATAGAGAACGTATTAGCCTCTTTTTTTGCTGCTCTTGCACGACGTATCATATGTCTTCGGCAAGTGGGCCATTCTTGGGGTCCTCAAAAAACTTGCAGATAATAAGCACTTCCAGGCTCTTGAAAGCAGATATTTCTGGCAGTGGGCCATATAAGCCTGGACGGGTAATCCTGCCTCTTTTTTTCCAGTGGCTGAACCACTGGAGCATTAGCTTCCCCCGTAGATTCGATTACGGAAGCGATGGCTTACACGATTAAAATGCCTAGATGAACGTTGTAATTCAGCTTGTGGGCTCCCATAGACGTGTTATCTACTGGAGCTTTAGCTTCCACGATAGTATGTACTGTCGGAGCATGATGTGATCTTACAGTAGCTCTTGCTGCTGGAGTCTTTATTTCAACTGTAGTTCTCTCGACTGAAGCATATAATGCTTTCACAATAGCGTTAGCTACTGGAGATGTTGCTTCCATGATAGATTTTCCTACTGGTGCATAACGTGCTTCCACGGTGGTGTCATATACCGGAGCATTGGGCTTTACGCTTGGTATGACTACTTAAGCATAGTGGACTTCCACAATAGACTTTACCATTGGAGCTTGGGCTTCCATAGTAGCTTTTGCTGCTGGAGTGTAATGAGCTTACACAACGGATTTAATCATCAGAGTGACAGCTCCCATAGTAGCATTAACTTCTAGGGCATAGGCCTCTACAATAGATATATATACTGGATCAATATCTTCTGTCTTCGTGGTGATATGTCGTATCACAACTAAGTCGCAAACGCCAACATAGTCAGCTCTATCTTCGATGCAAAGTTGATCGCTAGTAGATAGCCATAGACGGGTCATGAGGTCCGTAGGTGTGACTTATACTTGGCTAGCTACTCGCAATCTGCCTATTTCTCCAAAAGTTCCAAGGATCATGGTCTTCTTACCACGCATTCCCTTGTATAAGGTCATACGAATGACCCATAAATCATCGTCGAGCAGTCCTCTTCGAAGTGACTCACTCGGTCACAACCATAACAAGGTACCTGCAGGCGATAAATCGCACAGGTTCATGGATATAGAGCTACCACTTGACGGCGGCTGCATGTCTTCAAGACCAGCAGGTAATTTACGCGACTGTTCCCAAAGCTGATTCCTATAAAAGGCCACGAAGATTGCATCTTCAAACTTGGTTGGTTGCCAACGAAAGACTTCAGTCTTTGGAGGGCCGATCTTGGGTCCCTTCTCAAAGACGATTACCGTCTTGTCCTCCGATATTGGATTGTCGACCAGCGACGCTCGCCACTTGCAAAGTCCTATTACGACCTCATAGATAGTTTTTACCCTGACGACACCTCAAAAACGTCGCGCGATGTTTGAACGCTGTATTCGGTGGAAGGAACATCTTTGCTATGAATTCTTCGAAAAAGTTCTAAGAGAAGATATGACAAGGATGGATGATATCCCACGTGAAAGCCTATTCATGAGCAGCACCTTGCATGCTCGAAAGCACAAATGCGACATTCTGCTAGTCCTCGTGATCCAGCACTGCCACCAGTGCCACAATGGCTTGGCTGAACGTGAAGATGGTGGCATCTTCACTTGGGCAACCGGGGTTGGTGGAGTCGGGAGCGAAAGTGCAACACGATACACCATGTGTTCCATGATGGTTGGCACCGACGTAAGACGAGTTCAATTAGGTCAACTTTAAGCGACGTGCTCCTTGACCACATCTTGGTCGTGACATAACAATTGAATGGTGGCTTCACCACCAAGTATTCGATAAATTTTGCCGGCGACGGCCGTTTTTTGCATGGGAAGGTTGGAGTGGTCCAACGGTGACTGTTGGGTAATCCAACGGTGACGTTTGGACTAGGAAGTCAGACTGGTAGCTAGAATAGGACATCTTTAATATCGTCATAGGATTGACCACAAAGTGATACCTGGTGTAACGGGACAGCTAGTTACACTCACTCTTGCGCTGAGGTGGCGTTAACTTGGGACTTGGTCTTCTCGCTTATCTGTCGCACGCAATGCTAAACTACAACCGTGTGTAAATCTCTTGATCAAAACAAAGACTGACATATCTTAGGTGGTTTTATCCTGATCCTTATCTTAACCAAAAAAAAATGTGCCTAATTGTAATCACCAACTATTAATCGAAGTTCATACTAAGTTAAGCAGTAATTATGTCTATATCACACAAGCTGTGTAATGAGTCTACAAACCTATTACAGACGACCATTTAGTATAGAATCTCATGAGAGACAGCGATACTACTTAAACTGCGGTGGAAACTCGGAGCGGTTTGGATAAAGAAAATGTTTATGCGAAAAAGCTGTCTAACAAACAAGAGATGTACAGCACCCTGTAGTTAACGCTGAAGGGTGTATCCAGCATACGCACAAACCACTATCATCGATACGTTGCCCGAAATTGCAATGCTCGAAAGAAAATACACTTTTTGAGCACGCCTTATCATCTGCAAGCATTTGAACAGGATGTCTCCAGACAGAGCGAAGTGTGTCTTTGGCTCATAATGTTTTAATTCTGCCGGTCGTTCTCGCAAAATAGGTTGCCAGTGTCGCTGCCGATTGGACTAAAAGAAACGACTTTATTTGGCCGACTACTTGCACAAGTACTGTTTGAATACGCTTATATACAAGGCATTCAGATAATCGTCTGGCGAAGTGGTGTCAAATGGTGTTACATAAGCCGCATCCATGGATTTGAACCAGAGCTCATATTTCGACAATGATTTTAAGGTGTTCTTAAATGATAACGATCCGATCCCCAACCAACCACCAACGCCAGCCGTTCTCTCGTAAGGAAGTGTTTAATGCGCTCGGCTCCTTAAGGCCATGAGTCTAGTTTCCGTGCCTTTTACACTATACGACGTGTTTCAACACCCCGGAGATGGTGTCCAGCTCGTTACCAACAAACAGATCTAGCTCGAGGGACCCGGCTTGCTTTACTGGGAGCGCAAGACTCCCAATCAATGCTATTTCCTAAATCACGTCGGGTGCTCGGCTTCAAGCTATCCTACGTCGGTCGCCGCACTTGTGCGAACCTCGTAAACACCTATGCGTTTGCGCGTTCTGCAAACCACGCTCAAGAGTGTCAGTGTGTGAGCGCTTTGCTAGCCTACAGATTCTCATCAGTGCTTGGAGCAGCAGCAATTGGGGAAATCCTTACTATCTACGAGAATGTATCTTTGATGCTAGGGAATAGTAAATTTACCGCTCAGTATATAATTTATTACTCTCTGGGTTAGGCAAACACGCCATTTTACTCATGTTCAGTTTTTTACAGAGTAACTTAGTGATGCAGAATTTGTCTCCAACGTCGTCTAATGCTTGACGTTGCAAGGATAAAGGCTCAACAAGGCCGTCGAGCTGTCAATTTCTCACCACGACTTTCTGTAGCTGACAACTTTGCTCGCCGTCCATCAGACAGATAAAATCGTTATCAACGAAGGGATGTTTTAACGCGAACTAGTCCCTTTCTACTAGTGCGAAGCGCACTGTTTCGGAAAATGTTAATTTTTCTCCAAGTATAAAGTCCTGTGTGTGCAAGATTGTAAGGGTTCACGGCTTTGAACTTTTTTGCCGAAGCTAAACCTCAAACTATCACACGCTTTCAGAGGTAAGGGATCCCTTCCACTTCACTAAGTACTAGGGTTCTGATGCATTCGCTGATCCACCGAACGTTTTACATAAAAATAGGCTGCCATTCGCTCATCAAGCAACGATGATCAATCATCCCGCACCCAGCTCCCGTGATCTCTCTTAATACGCTGATCCCCTCCAGGAGTATCGACGTGTGCTCGATTCGCTCAATAAGCTTTGTTATAGCACTTTCTGGCTTGAAACGGTAAAGTATAGCTCAGCAACAGAATGCCAGAGATATTGCTTCGTCTACACCAGAGTTCTTCACATTCGAATGGTCTTTGGTGAAGAAAATGTCAGATCGCTTCAGCATGCCCAAGAAAACAATTTGTTTGCTTGCGCTTGCTTAAGTTTAACTTAGTATCATATTTAGTGCGAATGTAAACGGTCAAATGTATCGCGGTCAATCGGGTCTTGAAGATTGCGTACAATACATGTGTAAGTAGTTTTTGATTCAGTTTATCCCATTTGCCTCACAATTATCATTGTGTGATCTACTTGCCTCTGAGGCTGGTATGTTGCTTTTATACATCATGGGTCAAGCTACAGCACTGCATACCCTGCCCTTGACATTCAATCTCGTTCAAAACAATCCGAAAATCGTTTCAAATTGTAGCCGGCCATAAATCAGCAAGATTCACTCGATTGACAGCTCTACTAGCATTAAGACCATAGCCACGTGGTGGTGATGCCAAAGACACACAAAGGTTTATCAAGCTATTTTTGCACGATGGATTAGAGCCAGTAGAGGCGTCTACCCCGCTTTTCACAACATTCTCAATAGGTCGAAGAAATTTTCCCCAGCACCACTGCATGTTCGCGCATCAGCTTTGACAGAAGTCCATCAGAATGCGATTCGATTGTTCTTCTGACCATTCGTTTGCGGATTGTCTGTAGTTGACAAATTCATTTAGATTCTTAGCACCTTGATAATGTTTGTCAAATCTTCGCAGTGTAGCACACATCTCTATCCAGTGCAATAGCAATCGGCAAGCAATGTTGGTAGTCACTTTGCAGGGAAAAAGCTTGGCTAAATTTTTCACCGGTCGCATTATTGCTGATATCTGCAATATTAATCGTTCTGCTTGCACGGCACACAAAGACAACAGATTCTAAGAACCTGATCAAAAGATACTTTATTGTTTGTTGCTTCATGCCATGGACATGTTAGTTTTCTCACATTTTCAAGCTGGCAAAGCTCAATCGCGGTCATACGCTCATGTCAATTTCGTTTTTGCTTGGAGCAAAGCGTAGCATTCTGCATAAGCTGATTGTCACAGACGTTACAAATGAAAGTTTCATCACTATGCAAGAACGTCTTCTGTTCCATTTTCTTACCGGCACTATCGCTGCACCCCAACACCATCCGATACATTTTTGAAGATATTTGTGAGGGTTTATGCCATATTGACATATCGCACCACATCGTTTGCTGGACCAAGCCACTTCGTCAAGTCGTTTCGCGCACAGATTCTGCCCAATTTAAATTAGCCTTTATACTCGAGGGATCTACCCACAGATCCGCCGGTCATTCAGCGCCAGAAACACACTAGTCTATATTGGCAAATACCATTCTTTAGCGCATATACTCGAACACCGCTTGCAAGTCTTCAATGCCGTTTGTAACATCCTAATCTTTTGCTCAGTACGATAATGAGCAAGTATATCATCTTTACAGAACTATACAAAGCCTCGTTTCGACCTGAAACGATGGGTTTTCTGACGATTGGACGCCGCTAGGAAAATTGTCAGTTTTCGTGGCATAATGATTTTCTTCCAAATCATGGTTTTCACTGCAATATGAGATATAACGCTTTCATTCATCAGCAGTCGAAAATAGTTATATAGTTCGAAGGCACTAAATAAAGCGCAGCCGAGATTCTGTTCTGTAGCATTTCTCAAAAGCTGCTATTACACCTAATCCGCGGCTGCATTCAGCTTCTTACAATTTGCAATTCGCCATTAGTCTTTCGCAACCCAAACGTCATTTCCGATTGCGGATTTTTTTAATCGAGTTCGCTACGTTCGTTGCACAAATGGAAACGTCAGTATGTCACACCATTTTCTTGGTATGTCATTGTCTTGTGATACTATACTTGGTTCCGGTAACCAAGTCAATATTATGACGCACTCCTTTTCCCAGGAGTTAAACGCGCGATTAAGTCTGTTTCACGATATCGTGGTACTCATTCCGAAAAGCGTAGACAGGATTAAAAATCGGAAAGAGCTGTTTCAGTCCTAACACTCAGTGGTCTCAATGACAGGTTCACTCATTTCGGAAAACGAGCTCAGATTCCTTTCTGAAACCAGCTGTTCCATTTTGTTGACCTCACTATTTTGCAATCCTATCGCATATTCCCGAGACGTAATTCATTAACCTTTACAAGAGGTACTACCGGAGAACCTAGAGACCTATAACCTAGGGTGACCTTGGTTACATCATTCGGATTTATCACATCTTGTATACCACTTTCCTACTTATTCTCTTAATAATCCGCTCGGTGGCCTTGTCACACGGCAGTGCTGATCAAACAGCACCGTCAAATTTTGCCTTGGATGAGCCATCTTGAAGGTCTGGCCATTCTGCTCACGAACTACATCCACCCTCTCACTGAAACGGCGCTGGCATAAACGATTGGACACCCAGTCATTTAAACTCTACATCAGCTCTGACGCAGAAAAGTATAACTGACAACCGTTGTTTGCCATCCAAACAAAACTACACTTTGGGGTAGTAACATATGTTACTTCTTTTTCATCTTTAAAAGAGATTCAAATGTGGCAATGGCTGTATACTACCATTCTTCACCATCATATCCTTAGACCTCTGCTCAATGTTTCTTCTGCCTCTCGGGCTTGGTAATAACGTTGCTATCATATCAGAAATTCTCATGTCTTGTGAGGAACCTATCACAGCTTCATGCCCTCCTTTCTGGTAGAGGTTGGGTCATGACTCGACAATGATCTATCAGGAGATAATTTTGTGGCATCTAACTTTTTATGGTAAAAGTCGACCCATGGCTTGTGGAGTGCCATCCGCACCAACTAAGAATGGGATTGTTTTAAAGTCTAGCGCAAGACAACGTTCTATATTGTCAAAACTTTGACTCTTTGACGGGCGTCCCGGTCGTAAGACGCATGAATCTCGTATCCGTATTAGGTATCTGCAATAGCTTCGCGTTCTGTTAATTGTTTTAGACGATTGCTAATTCTACGACGCTTTAAATTAATCAGAACTTTCAAAGACTTCACAATCTTAAACGTAGAATCAACAACCAGCAACACTAGAATATGATTTCCACCTTTCTTGTAGTGAGTCGCTTTTTTTAAGTTATTATGATCACCATGACGTACAAAAAAATCAGCTCTTCTTCACAAAACAAGCCTGTACATACGAGGACATGAACCATCCGTTTAATGGTGCATCTCCCGCCCTTGCGTGGGAGCACAACCTTCGAATATCTCAGATAAGAGCAATACGTGTACGCATGACTCAGTAAGTTTTTAGTTAGTCGGATAAAACATCCGCGGGTAGCGCGGTGCCGCTCAGCAACTTAAAGCATGGCCGAGCCCCATTTTGCGCCCGGACCTTGTGGTACGTAAATGCGCCGAGCATTAAACACAATGCCCACCGAAGCCTTGAAAGAGAGATTGTGAACATGGAAGGGTTCGCCGCAAGGCGCCCTATTCTATGAAAATTGTTCAATTTTACCGGCTCCGGGAGAGAGTCTGACGCCATTGAGGATTTGAGTTGATGATAGATCTTTTTTTACTCCGAAAAAAATATTGAGCTTTTCAATCAAAGAACCTCAAACGCACCTGGTACACCATTAGACCCGCAACATCTGTCGCTTCAATTATTGCCACATATAAATCGTCTCGTTTACCGAGGTGTGTACCTGAACGGTCATTAGCGTGTGCAACACGATACATCGCGTCATGAAGCAAGGCCGAGTCCTTTGCTATCTTTTCTTTCCGCCAGAGGGAGAGACTATCTCTATTCCGGCTCCCAAACGCTAAATGCTCCAGCTCAGCGGTTTCAATGTGGAAGCCATCATTTTCTCTACTGTCGCTCGGTTAGGCACTTGTAGACGTGTCTTGCCAACGCATTATCAAAGCTGGTGAGCGCCACCAGATGTACAATTTCTTCCTCTGTCTCTACAAAGTCATTTTTCGAAACCACCGAGATAAAAGCTAGCTATGCCTTTAAGGATCCAGTATTTACAACTCGAAGGTGGGATAAACTTCGTGTGCTACCAAGTCCAACAAAGTTGCCCTGTTCGTTGCCTGAAGAAACAAAAAATCCGCAGTGGCATATGCACAGAGGATCAGTTCGTGCGATCTTACCAGGAGTGGAACCTAGATCCTATAAGATGACTAAACGCCATTAGCTATATCTGACAAATCAGCGGTACATTAGTTACATTATTTGTATTTTGATTTTAGCTTATGATACATTCATTTCTACTGTTATACTATTACTGATAGGAAAACCGTCGTTCTTCTAACGTGTGGCTAGCAACCCAAGCATCCTCTGGGATCCTCCTTGTCGAAACTCCTTGAATTCTTGAAAATTCTTTTGCGGTATGTGACGGGGTTACACGAACCCTGGTATGAAGGGGTTGGTTAAAAAAATATGGTGTGGCCATACAAGGGCGTGGTTTGCACAAGAAGAGGATATGGCTACACTTTAACAAGAAGTCAGTACGTGGCTGTAATGCTAGTAGTTATGCATTAATGCGGTTTTTCTATTTCATTTGGAAAACCTTTTTCGAGATATAGGCCGCAAAAGAACAAGAAATACAGTTCAATATTGAGCGTAAGAGTTTTTTTCCCTTGAATTAAGGTTGTGGTTACTCTTGGAGAAGCGAAATGCGAATCGCTACACTCGTATTAATTCAAGGTATTGAACGAAGGTCACCGACTTTAGTCTACCTTACTTCAAGCAAAAGAGATACGGCAGCCCTGCTGCGCTTGGTAGCACTTGTAGTCAATCAACACAATAGTCGTTACGACTGATCCTTTGTGAGAATGGAGCAGTTCTTCAATTTTGTTCCAGGGCTTGCAAGACGGGCTTAAGATACCAATATCTCTGCTTTGACCTGAGAGCGGCAACAACTCAGTTTGTAAGTAACTGAAGCGATCAGCGCGCGCCTAGAGGCTTTTTCGAGCTATGGAAATTTTACGCTCAAGCACCTATAGCGAAAAATGTCGGCATCGACAGAGTTCATGTCGCCTTGCCAATGAGGGATGACTCACCGAACACAGGTCGCTCATGATGGGCATTAAGTCCTTCGAGGGTAAGAGAATCTCGTGCTCTGGATGAGAGAGGCCGAGATAGCTATGGCGTCCGCCATGGTCCAGACCGAGCAGCAGCACGTGGCTCCAAGTTCGGTGGTTGAGCCCAAGAATGTGCACCGACGTGCGGCACTTCGGACGAAGCAGCGTTTCCTTCCTGGATGGAGCTGAAGTTGTATCTTTTATGAGTGTTCTCGCCGCTTTACATGGTATATCGCGTGCGATCGCGTTTCCTTACCGACCGACAGGGCAAGAAGGGATTGGTGGACTTTGTCCAAGCGTTGCGCACCCTAATTCCCGGTATGACAGCCGATCCTCTCCCCGAGGCGGTCACAGTGACCGTCTTTATGGAGGGCCCCCGCACTGGCGTGGCCAGAATGGAAGTCTATCGTGTGCACACGTCTCCTTTTGAAGAAGCAGTGAATGTGACATTGAATGCCGAGTTAAACTTTAAGTCGGCACGCCTTGGTTATTATGCACACCCTCAAAGCTTGTCGATCGAGCCTGAGACGATAGGCTGAGATAGAAGGGGCAGAACCCCAAGCTGTCGTGCAGCGTTTTAACACCCGGCCGTGTTTCTCTGTGAGGACACCCGCCACCTCCGGATTTGTTGTCCCCTGCGCAAGGCGTGAAGGTTCATCGGACCGACCTCCCGGTTCTTACCAGCCTTTTGTTTCATCGCGGGGAAACGACAACACCAAGTAGGCCTGAAGCGCCCTACTGGATAAGAGCTGAGACTGTTGAGACTGATAGAGGTAAAGATCAGCAGGGTCCAGCTCCCAAGAGCTCCGCGATCTTTAATACGGAACGTGTAATCAAGCCAGGCTTGCTGGTCGTGGAAGCGACCGTAAAAAGTTATGAGATGACATGAAAACCTCTTTCGACTCCTGTGAGTCGGGCGGTCATGCTTGACGCTCCACGATCGAAGGAAGTCAGCTGTGTACTGAGACGCTGAAGCGCGGTCGAGTGACATCGTCACTGTTCGCTTAACAACGGGGACAGTCGAGGGTCCCTGTGGACCTCGGCGTCAAGTTTCTTGGCTTTGATAGCGTTGAACGCTACTCAGACTTAGACTTGGATTCAAGGTACGACCTCATCCATGGGTTGGCAAGGCTGGAACACTATGAGCCAAGGATCGATTGGAGGACGACGGCCTTGAGCGCTACGCGCATATCTTCAACTGGAACGTTTGTGTCATGAATTCACCTCTGCTAGGAAGCAAAAACGCTATTGACGCGAGCACTGGACCGGGACGGTAAATGTACTGGATATAGAGTATCCGAGTTGCTGAACACCGAAGTGTATCAGACTGGAGTTCCGTGCAAGACTCCGGGCTAAAAGTGTGTGGCACTTAACCTAGTAAGCACTGATAATGATGAAGCAACGGCTGCATGCCGCAGGCTGCATTGTCGGTCGAGGTCTGAGGCATCTTGAGCAAGGTCCTTCAGATGCGCGTGAGGTGGCACGTTACTTGACGAGACAGCGGAAATAGCGGCTATTCGTCGGATGTTGTTAATAACATCAGGGCCCCGGTGGAGCAGGAAATAGGGACAGTGGACGGCGCTGAAAGCGTGTTCACACTGGTCTCGGTGAGACGAAATACCTCGGTGATGAAGCGGCAGCAACGCCATATGCTCATTGCAAGACGCCGGTCGTCCACATTAACCTAGTTTGTGTCTACCATAGACGTTAGCGCACAGCTATACATCCTCGACAACGATAAAATGGAGGCAGAAGACGGAGAATGTCACCACCGAGGCTATTCCTGTTGTGGATGCTCTTCTTGAGCTAAACGAGATGTACTTCGCAGATTTCGGCGGGGCCTTGTAGGGAGGAGACTTAGCTGAAGTGGTCATTATACGACCGATAGAGGAGATTGACTCGTCGTCGCTTCTGGATGAAACTGCACCGGAAGACCGATAGAGGGTGCTGAGCGCCTAAAGTCATTTTTCTATCCTAAAGAAGTCACTTTTAGGATGCTTTCATCGGGAAGCGTCGCCTTCGAGTGGATCCCGCTAAAGTCAAGGGAATTGTAGACTGGCCAGCTACAAAGAACCAAACTAACTTGCGCAAATTGCTTGGCCTCGCCAACTACTTGCACAAGTGTAGCGAGAATTATGCAGAACTGATACGGTTATTTTCAAATCTCCTTAAAAAGGATAAG